CATTTTAGCCTTATCTTTCATATGTTTAGCGTTATTTTTCTACTTGGAATTGAAAAATCAGCATAACAAACCCCCAAATTTGCTTTACCATTTAATATCGCTGGACCATCGTGCACAGTACTCTCTTCCTTTCCTTGTAAATTCCATCTAGAAAAGACGTACTCATCTTTAACAATTGGACTGGAGTACGACCTCCCATCTGAAGTCTTTCCCTGTTCTCCTTTTTGGGTCCTCAATGTATTCTATATGCCTTGTATATATAAAATGTGTACTTTATATATATATATGTATATATACATAAATGATCTATATATAGTTTTTTAGTAGGTACTGTTGTGCTTAAGGTCATACATCCTTGTGGTTGTTACATTAAAAAAAAAGAAATATAGGAAAACTAATGAAACAAAAGATTAAAAATAGAAACTTTAAGATTAAGAAATTATTTTTTAAAGAAGCATGCCTATAGTCCCAGCTACTCAGGAGGCTGAGGCAGGAGGATCGCTTGGGCCCAGGAGGGTGAGGCTGCAGTGAGCTATATGATAATGCCACTGAACTCTAGCCTGGGCAAAAGAGTGAGACCCTGTCTCAAAACAAAAAAAAAAAGAAGCAAAAGGATTAATATTAGGAATATAGGAAAAGATTAAAATCAATTGCAACACAGGTATATTAACTAAAACAGGTAAGTTGTAACATGAAACCAAATACACAAATTAGAATGTTAAACTTCACAAAATCATTTAAATGTAAAAACAATAATTAAAGTGTAATAAAACACTTGAAAGTAGAAAATAAACAGCTAAAAATATTTTAAAGTTGTGTTTAAAGAATAGCATAACGCCTGTAATCCTAGCTCTCTGGGAGGCCAAGGCGGGCGGATTGTTTGAGCTCAGGAGTTCGAACCCAGCCTGAGCAAGAGCGAGACCTCGTCTCTACTAAAAATAGAAAGAAATTAATTGGACAACTAAAAATATATAGAAAAAATTAGCCGGGCATGGTGGCGCATGCCTGTAGTCCCAGCTACTCGGGAGGCTGAGGCAGAAGGATCGCTTGAGCCCAGGAGTTTGAGGTTGCTGTGAGATAGGATGATGCCACGGCACTCACTCTAGCCAGGGCAACAGAGTGAGACTCTGTCTCAAAAAAAAAAAAAAAAAAAGAATAGCATAAAGTAACAAGAGGGTGTTACACATGGCCTCCAAGCTAGAGGAATTAAAGATAGCATATTCTAATCTCCCTCCTTCACTCATGAGAATTAATGGGATCAAGGGCCTCTGATTAAAGACATTTTATTTTTGATACAAAGAAGCCTCTTTATTGGGTGTAGTTTGCAATGAAAAAAAAAGCTTCCTATCCTCCTATTTCATTACCTCTCTTTCTAGAAAAAGATAACTTTCATTGTCCCGGAAACCTCCTTTTCAGAATAGTTGTAGCTGGTAACAAAAATGGCCTTCTTTTCCTTCAACTTTAACTGATTGAATAGGTTTTTCCTAAGGCTCTGGCTAGGTCAAGTCAAAGGAGATGGGTTGGGTCTCAAGAAATATGAGCCATGTATAATAGTTACATCAAATGACTGAGATTCTCTCTTATCCATCAGAAATAGGATTTGTTTCTTGCTGTACCATCTCATCCATCACAAATGGGATTCCATTTTCATTGGCTTATGGTTACTTCTCAGAGGAGATGGGTTCTCATTATAGGTGGCTGATGTGATTTTATCTTGCCTAGGCAACAATGTTTAATTAACACAAAAACCAAAAATGTTTTCCTGGCAGGTTTTTTTTTTGCTGGATTATTGCCTATTTATCCTTAATTCGTTTATCTGAAACAGTACTCTAAGGCATTTTTACTCACACTTCTGATACCAATTCTGTGGGGGTTTTCCTCCACCCAACAACCAGTTCTCTGATTCTCCAGACACCAGCTGCGTATCCTACAATTCAGTTCAATGTTGACTCTAATTACTTGGAGTTAGTGCAGACCCACAGGTTAAGAACTCAGTCCTACAAGACTGTCCCTACTTCATATGCTAGTTGCAAGTCCCAGGTTTCCACCTGTATTTCTGAGCAACTAACTATAAATGGGAGGTTCCCACAACTACTTCCTCAGATTTGGTAATTTGCTAGAATATCTCAGAAAAGTGCTTTATGTACTATGACTGGTTTATTATAAAGGATACAACTCAGGAACAGCCAAGAGGAAGAGATGTGTAGGGCAATGTATAGGGGAAGGAACACAAAGCTTTCATGCTCTTTCTGGGCATGCTACCTTCCCATAACCTAGATGTGTTCACCAGTGTGAAAGTTCTCCAAACCGCATTATTTAGGATTTTTCATGGAGGTTCCATTATGTAGGCATCATTGATTAAATAATTTCCATTAGTGATTGAACCGCAGAAGTCTTGAGATGGAACTAATCTCATGGTTCATTCCTCTGGAAACCAGCCTCCATCCTGAAGCTATCTAGAAATCCACAAAGAATCAGCTTATTAATCTCTGGCATGGTTGAAGGGGACTTGTTATGAATAACAAAAGATTCTTCTATTACTCAGGGAATCCCAAAGGTTTTGGAAGCTCTGTGTCAAGGACTGGGGACAAAACCCAAATACAGTGGGCCCTCTGTATCCATGGTTTCTACATCCCTGGAGTCAACAAATTGCAGATCAAAAATATTTGAAAAAATATTTGCATCTGTAGTGACATGTACAGAATTTTCTTTCTTGTCATTATTCCCTAAACAATATAGTATAACAACTATTTATATAGCATTTAAATTGTGTTATTGTAAGTAATATGAAGATGATTTAAAGTATATAGGAGCATGTGCACAGGTTATAATGCAAATACTACATTATTCTATATTAAGGACCTGAGAATCCTTGAATTTTGGTATTCTAGGGAGATCCTGGAACCAATCTCCCACAGATACCAAAGGACAACTGCATATGTTTCTTATTGAAGCACAAGTACCTTCCAAAGTAAAACCTAATCATTATGACTCTTATTTTACTTTTCCTAAAAGTGAAATAAAAATAGCAGTATTCTTTAGGATATTGCCCGCACACAAGTTGACACCTATTTCTCTTTCCTAATCTCCCAAATTTATACAATCACAAACAGATCTTTAGGAAATTTGCAAAGGAAACATCAAATTAAGATCAGGAAAAAGATAATGATAAGAAAAAGAAAAAGAAGAAACCCCTGAGAAAGAATATAAATCATAATGAATTTTTACAGTAGTAAAAAAGTAAAGCATTTAAAACAAATATTAAAAATACATCTCCAATAAAGTGAAGCACATGCTCACACATCCATCATAAGAAAAGAATAGAAGTATGTATTGCTAACTAGATCCTCTTGATTCGTTTCCCAAATCATGAGATCTTTGAAGAGGAAGAAAATCAACAGGCAGAGAATTGAATACTTGTTTCTTTCCATGGTGTGGGCCTAGCTGCTTGAGTATTCTATATAAACCTCTGAAGGTGAGAAACAAACTTTTCAGCAGACAACTACAGGTGAACATGGTTAGTCAGTCTACCAGTGGGCTTTGTACACACCCAGGAGCAAAAAAGCAGGAAATTCATTTTTAAATCAGTCTTCAACATTTATTTTATTGGTGTTATTTAGCTATTATTATCACTCTTTGCTCTTAAGTATAGAACTATTATTTTATTTTTGAGTAAATACTTCACTCAGAACTATAGCAGATATTTAAATGACTAGAAAGGATGAATTGTATTTGCATATTATTTCTGTATTGCTGAAAGAGTGTTGTAAATGAATTCAGCACAGTGGTGTTAGGGGACTTGAAGAAGAAACTTGGGAACTGATAGATTATTATCAAGGTAAAGGTACTTATTCCCCTGGTGGCAAATTCTACCTATTTTAGCTTTTATTATCCTTAGGATGTGTTCTATTTATTTCACGAGTACAGAAGTTTTAATTGGGTATGTCATGTTTCAAAGACAAAAGAAATGCCTAATTCACTCTAACAAACTTGTTAGTCACTGTTTATACCAAGAGGATTTCTACTCTACAGAGAATAATATTGTTTTCTTTTTCCTTTGTTGATAAATCAAAGTTTTACACTGACCTACAGTAGTCAAGCATACTTTAAAGCAAAATCATCTCAGGCTAACACAGATGTGTATCCTTTTAGCTTTATGTATTCTTTTTGTTCCTTTTTTTATTCTTTAAGAAATGTTGTATCCCAAAAATAAATCAGTAAGAAAGTGGTATTTAAATTTGTCATTGTAATTTATTTATCTGATAAGAAAAGAGCAATTTATGGGTTTTAGAATAATTTAATTTTCATGATATTAACTGAAGTGTTATGAGTATTTTTTTCCTTTAAACTTGTCAAGTTGCTGGCAAATTTTTGCTTGGTTGAAAGGGTTTTGGTATTTAAATGCATAGCTAGTATAGGAATGATTTGTAGAAATAACTTTGCCCTTATACCTAGCTTGTATTTGTTATGAATTCTTAGATTTTTAGATATGTGATTTTTGTGGTTTACCCTGCCTAGTGCATGATCTTTCACTTGAAGAAAAGGTGGTGGTAGGGGGTGTAACAGTTTCAGTCCACCCTAATTCTGTTACTGTTTGCTTTGTTCAGCAATCACTGTGATCCTCCTGGCAGGGAACAAGATCCAGAGAACAAAACTAGTAGTGACTGTATAGATAAAAAGGCAATGAATTCTGCTTTTAAGGCAAAGGGGGAATACTCTACAAAGGAATGAAAATAGGAATAAAAGTGTAGTATTGTTAACCTGCAAATCTATTGTACTTTTGAAAATCTTACACTGCAGAAAAAAATGCGACACTACAAAGATTCATAGTTATGTTACTGAAAATCTTAAAAAGGGTCACCGTTTAGTTACTAGCCAAATACTTGACCAGAAAATAGCCTAGATTATTCATAATTGAAAAGCCATAGAACCTTTTTCATTAAAATGACAGGACAGTGTTTCAGCAGTACACAAGGTACCATAATATTTGTCTCTACCAGAACAACTCTTTAGATACGGTGAAGATGGCGAGGTCAAGAAGAGTACTCCAGAGAAGAATGGGAAAGAAATGTTGGAGCAGACATTGCAGAAGGTAATCTAATCTTTAAGATATTGAGCTGAGCAAGTTAAATCTGAATTTTAACATAAAGGATTATATTTTAAAACGAGGGCTCATGAGCTTAAACCTTGTATGAATCCTTAATTTAAATTCATAATTCAAAATCATTGGCTTGCCAAAATGGGGTAAAAAAAATCAATGTTAGTGAAATAAATGTGTAAACACTTGTGCTTCCATTGACATACATTAAAAATATTTTCAAAGATGAAATGGAGGGAATGAAAACAATAGAAATTATAAAAATTTGGATTATATGTGTTCGTTAGGTATAACTCAGCAGTTTAAGTTTAAAATGGGTCATAATGAGGTCTGTGCTACACTTCAACAAATACAGAGATTTATAACATTTGCACTAAAAACCAAGCATGGTTATAGCTCTACCACAGTAAAATGGTAATATGTTTATAAGTTTAATTTTAAACTACAAAATATACATGACTTATCTCATTTTAGATAAAAATTTATACCTATATGATTTAGAATAGCTTTCTGTTTTAATAAGAACATGTAAACCCTATGGTCATGATACAGCATGGCTATCATTCATAGTAAAATGCTGTTTTAAAATCCTAACATTTACCTTTACAATTTTATACTTAATATTTTGTGTGTGTGTGTGTGTGTGTATGTGTATATATAGTTACCAAGTTCAATTAAGTGAACTAGATTATATTAACATTTTGTTATTGTTATAAAGAAAATGCTCTTTAAATAGTTTATTCTTATAAGTGATTGTTATTTGGGTATATTGGATTGATTTTGTTTTTTTATAAATCTTTAATATTTAGATAAACAAATCTTTAATACTTAGATAAAGCTGGAAATGCACAAATATATAAACAAAAATATTAATGTAGCTATTTATATTTCTTACATCTGTGAACTGACTTGTTGGAAATCTAGTGATTTGCAGCAGATGATGTGATTCCTTATACTTCTAACACTTGCCATATGGTTAGGCAACAAAGGCTGTCGTCTCATTATTACTGAATGACACACATCAGGTTAGCATGGTAACACAGAGAACAAGAAATTCTCATGTTCATTTGTCTTAAGGTTAAATGAGTAATTGAAATAATCTATGCACTATCAGCTATGATGCCATACAGTTTATAATAGCTTAACACCTTTGTTTCAGAACAATATTTTTGTTTGCCAGATTTTGTATAATTTTTATTTGTGTGTGTGTATATATATATATATATGTATATGTAATACTATCCTATTATTTACTGCCTTAGGGTAGAAACCCTAAAGAAAGCCATTATTTCCTTTCAACTGCCATAAATAACTACTACCAGAGTGGATCCAGAAATGCATTTTAAGGCCTGAAAATCCAACGTGAATTATTTTCATTGGACCATATGTCAAATTAACATACAAATTTGTCACTACTTTTTATTAATATATTAACCTAATGCAATTGTATCAGTCATGATTTAATTCCTAATGGTTGAGTTTTTTTATTTTAAAAGGAAGTATATGAAACTCACTAAAACTGGATTTAAAATATAGTAATAAGATGAAAACAATATTAGTATAAAATAGAAATGAAACCTATAAGAAGATTATTTTTAAAATAATGTATTAAAATTTCATACTGTTATTGGCTGAATTGTGTCTCCCTGGAATTTATATGTTGAAGCCCTAATCTCAGTATCTCAGAATGTATTAATAACTGTATTTGGAGTTTGGGTCTTTGAAGAGGTAATTATGTTATAATGAAGTTATTAGAGTGGGCCCTAATTTAATGTGACTGATATCCTTATAAGAAAAGGTAATTAGGATACAGGCAAACACAAAGGGAAGACCGTGTGAAGATATGGAAAAAAGATTACCATTTACAAGCAAAGGAGAGCGCCCTCAGAAGAAACAAACCTTGTTGACACCTTATCTTAGACTTCTAGACTCCAGAACAATGGGAAAATAAATTTCTGTTGTTTAAGCCACTCACTCTGTGGTACTTTCTTATGGCAGCCTGAACAAACTAATATACACACTCCACAATGTTAAGTGGGTACTTTCTTATGGCAGCCCGAACAAACTAATATACACACTCCACAATGTTAAGTGTTTATTTCGAGTTTGAAAGAACCATCTCTTAATTATTTTAAATAAATATTCAGTACTGAAAGAAAGTATGGGCTTGAGCTGATTTGTAACAGACAAACAAAATGCCTTTAACAGTTCCCCAGACTTTCAGTCTCAAATACATATTGAAATTTAGCTTTCTATTTTTGGAGGCTTAAAATCAGTTTAGCAATTTTTGAGAATATACCTTGAATAACACTTTAATTGGTTCTATGGACTTTCCATTTTCAAAGTCTTTAAAAGTATTGTCTGTTTTGTTGTTTGTCTTCCATTTTAAACTTAAATACAAATAATTTTGACCAGTTCCCATGATTAAACATAGCATCACATTAGGTAGTTAATAGACTTTAAAACCACAGACATTTTCAGTTGGTATCTGTAGGGGCAAAAAGATGTGATGCCATTCCTTACCCATCATAAGGATCATGGTCGACAGTCCTATGACAAAAGGCAGGTTAACAAGAGAAAAACATAACAAATTTATTTAATCAAAGTTTTAGGTGACATGGGAAGCTTCAGAAATAAAGATCCAAAGAACCAAGAAAAACTATATATATACTTAAGTTCAATGAAGAATGGATAGCAGTATAGAAATGTGTTTGGACATAAGAATATGATCTAATTACCAGGCCTGTCTGCTCAGATTCTCCTTGGACTCCCTGTGTAACATTCCTTCACCCCAGATATGAGGGAGGACCCCTCTGGAATTAGGGTCCTCAAGGGAGAAAGGAAAAGGAAAAGAGTGACCTTTCTAGGTCTTATGGTTTGCTTTGGGGAGAGGAGTTCTAGTTTCTATGACCTACCTTGGGGAAGAGGAATTCTGCTTTCTGTGACTCACTTCAAGGAAGAAAAAGGGATGCAAGACAGGACAGGAGAAGATCAGAGAGACCTTGCTTCTGAGGCCCTTCCAATGTCCTTCAGTTCAAAGTACTCAGCATGCCAAGGTGCCATACTTTGGAGTGCTTTCTGATCCCCAACATAGGTAAAATTTTTGTGAGTTGTCTCCAAACTGAAGTGGATTTTAGTCAAAAGAAAAAAATAATGCTAATTTTCAGAATTGAAATCTCAAATTTAAGATGTTTGTTACATTTGTTTATAAAATATTTTAATTAAATGTATAAAGCTGATTTAATGGCTAATTCAGAATACTTTGCATGAGTAATTATATCTTAGCTCAAGTAATTTTATTAGGTAGATGTTAACATTAATAATGATAGAAATAATAATAATGATAATAAATTGTTTAGGACTTACCATCTGTAAGGAATTGTGGTTTATGATCACTTTTAATACTCACAACAAACTTGCAAGGTAGGTGTTACTACTCCCATTTCACAGATGAGGAAACTAAAGGTAAAATAGGTTAAATATTTTGCCAGCTAAAGCAATCAGAGCTGGAAGTGAGATATAGACCTGACTCAAAATTCTATTTCCCCTAAACCACACTGCCTCTTATTAATGTTTTTTATACTACCACTGTCAAAGTCAATTAAAAAAGGTATAATTGCTTACTTGCACAAAATATATTTTTTAAAAATAGAGTATATTCTACTCACTCCACCCTGGAATCTAACAAGTTAAAATATTTATATATATATATATATATTTTATTATAAAAAGTATACTGTTGTTTGGGGAAGTGATTAAAGATCCACCAAGGGAAACTGAAGAGTGTATAAAGAGGTCATATTCTTTGTCTGTAGTATAGTTTACTAAATGGAGGATACAATTTGGAGGTAGTGTGATTTGGAAGAAGTAAAAAGGATTCATCCAGAGTTTGTGTATTATTGAATCCTGTACTTTTTTTTCACATTAACCAGCTCTCCAGTAAAGTATTTGCATTGAGAAGGAACAATAGAATCTCTTTCACAGAAATACACAGAGGTCTTCAATAGTCTGGTTCAAAATTGTTCAGATAACTTTACGCCAGGTCAAGATAGATCCTATAAAGACGTAGGTTCAGTAGTAGGTAAGTATATTATACTGTGGAATAGAAGTGATTAAAATTAGGTGAGATTCTTCATATTGTGCTGGGAAATATCCATGCCCCAGGATAGGATAGCCAATCAATAAATGACTGTTGATTTAAATGAAGGGAGTTGAACTCATAGGGAGTATAGAAGGATAGGTAAATCAGACATGACTGAAACTCAGGTTTAGGAAACAACTTGTCTCTTCACCATCATAAGTAATGTTCAGGAAACTGGAAAGTGTTAAGAATATGTATAAGATTTATCCTGTGTAATTCTGGAATATTATTATTTCAAATCATTGGTTATTGTTTTAGCCTTTTCAGGCTGCTATGACAAAATACTAATAAACTGAGTAGCTTATAAACAACAGAAATTTATTTCTCACAGTTCTGGAGGCTGGGAAGTCCAAGATCAAGGTTCTCACAGATTTGATATCTGGTGAGGTCCTCCTTTCTGGATCATAGATGGTAACTTCTAGCAGGTCCTCATGGTAGAAGGAACTCGCTAGCTCTCTGAGGTCTCTTTTATAAAGGCACTAATCCCATTCAAGAAGGAGGAGCCCTCATGACCTAATCATTTCCCAAAGACCCCACCTCATAATACTATCATATTGGTGATTAGGTTTCAACATATAAATTTTGCTGGGACACAAGCATTCATACCATTGCAGTTGTCAATACATCAGAAATGTTTCTCCTTTGAAGAATTTGTTGTTGTTATTCTTTTGAGACAAGGTTTTGTTCTGTCACCCCAGCTAGAGTGCAGTGGCATCATCATAGCTCACTGCAACCTCAAACTCCTGGGCTCAAATGGTCCTCCTGCCTCAGCCTTCCAAGTAGTGGGGACTACAGGTGTGCGCCACCACACCTGGCTAATTTTTCTAATTTTTGTAGAGATGGGCTCTCGGACTTGCCCAGGCTGATCTTGAACTCCTGACCTCAAACCATCCTCCCACCTCAGCCTCCCAGAGTGTTAAAATTACAGGCATGAGCCACCCACCGCACCCAGCCTTAGAATTTGTTTTAAAAGTAAATATGAAGCCATATATTTTTCAATCATTTAGATTTCTTGCTTGTCTCCATTTTTTTTTCTTGACTCTAATTCCTTAGTGATGTAACTCCTAGCCAGAGTAGTCAAACAAGAAAAGCGAATCAAGGACATCCAAATGGGGGCAGAAGAGGTTGAACTATCATTCTTTGCTGACGATATGATCTTACATCTAGAAAACCCCAAAGATTCTGCTATGAGACTACTGGAATTGATAAACAAATTCAGCACAGTCTCAGGTTACAGAATCAATATACAGAAATCAGTAGCATTCCTATACACCAACAACAGTCAAACTGAGAACCAAATCAAAGACTCAATACCCTTCACAATAGCAACAAAGAAAATAAAATACCTAGAAATATATTTAACTAAGGAGGTAAAAGACCTCTACAGGGAGAACTACAAAACACTGAGGAAGAAAATAGCAGAGGACGTAAAGACGTGGAAAACCATACCATGCTCATGGGTTGGCAGAATCAACATTGTTAAAATGTCTATACTACCCAAAGTGATCTACAGATTCAATGCAATCGTATTAAAATACCAATATAAGTTTTTGCAGATTTAGAAAAAATAATTCTATGCTTCGTATGGAACCAGAAAAGACCCTGTATAGCAAAAGCAATCTTAAGCCAAAAGAACAAATTGGGAGGCATCAATTTACGAGACTCCTTTTTCATTTTCTATATAAGTCTGGGTAACTTTTCTTTCTCAGATGGCTTGTCGAGCAGTGGGAGACGCACAAAATCCTGAATTTGAACACAGTTCAGTCCAGGAAAGGTTTACCTCTTTGTGAAATTTAAATTTTCAAAATCTCTCTTTCCTATTCTGGAAAGGTATTTATTGGTTCTGCTTTTATCATGTTTTTAAGATGATTAGAAGAGATCATGTTTATGAAACTACTTGTAAAAAGTGAAATGTACTTTACAAGCAATAGGGCTTGTCATTTATTTTTGTACTCAAGAATTAGAATTAATTGTTCTTTCCTTTATGTTTAGACTTATGGCACTTAGATTATATCCTTTATTAGGTTTATATATGCAAATGTCTATCTTTTCAAATAGATTTTGATATTCCTTAAGGTCAGGAAGTACATATTACTATTGCTATGTCCTAGCACAAGAACATTGTTTATTGAAGTAAATGGAAACAATTAAATTTATATACAATCTTGAAATCATTGTAATTTAAAATTTTTAGACTGTATTTTTTGGTAAAATGTTCCTTCATTGTGTTAACTAAGGACCACATGAGTACTAAAATTATATTTTTCTAATTTAGAAAAAAGCAGCCTCAGTACATTATTTTGTATTTAGTCATTACTTTTTCATATGATTGTTAAATATTGAAGAAAAATGTTATTTATTAATATAGTTTGTATATATAACTACTTTCAGACTTTTTATGTAAATTGTTTTTCTCTGAAATATTTTTTTCACAGTGAATAGAATATATAGCCAAAACATTTATGATCTCAGAAAACTCTGCAGTTTATTAACATACTTAGTTCTGTGTCACTTTGTGTAGAATTTTAACTTCTTTTACCATCTGTTCTTTATTCAACAGATGTATTATTGCATTTTTGAATGTATTCATCTATCCCACCTTAGAATTATTTAGAAATTAAGTACTTTAGATTTATTTTGTCCTTGTGTTAAGTGTAATTTTTCTTTCATAAGTTAGAAATGATAATAAAAATATAGTAGCTTATGGTGCTGGATTTTTAAAAGAGTGAATTAAATTTTTCTGTTTAGGTCATAGAGTTGGAAAATCGGCTAAAATCTTTTGAGAGAAAGTCGAGAAGATTAAAAGAAGGGAATAAAAGGTTAATGAAAGAAAATCATTTCTTGAAATCCCTCTTAAAACAGCAGCAAGAAGAGGCAGAGACCAGAGAAAAAGAGCTAGAACAGCTACTAAAGGGAAGTAAAGATGTAGAAAAAGATAAAACTGAACTTCAAGTAAAAATCACTGAGCTGGAGAGAGAAGTCACTTCCTTAAGGAGACAAGTGGCAGAAGCTAATGCACTGAGAAATGAAAATGAAGAGCTGATGAACCCAATGGAGAAATTACACCACTCAGCAGACAAAGCTAAATCTGAGATGGCCACCACAGAAGTGAGATGTGGACAATACGATTGTAAGACAACCACTACCAAGGTTAAATTTAAAGCCGCTAAGAAAAAGTGCTCTGTGGGTCGTCACCACACTGTTCTCAATCACTCCATCAAGGTTATGAGCCATGTAGTTGAGAACCTCAGCAAGGACGGTTGGGAGGATGTGAGTGAAAGCAGGTAAGGCTCTCATTAACTTAGCTCTGTGGTGGGGACACTGTGCATATGTAAAGCACTGGCAAATGGAGATTGAATTTCAACTACTGTTGATTTGGTATTCAGAAAAAATACTGTCAGATCCTTTGAAATATCTTGGGAGGTCTTGTTCTGAGCTTATTGACTGAAATTTGCATGCAAAATTAGCCACAACTGCATGAGTATTTGAATAGATGCCAGGAAACCCAAAAGAAGGCAATGCTTGATTTCTTCCAGTGATGCTATTTTCATGCAGTCATGAGGCTTGAAATTGACAGTTTGGCAGGTTGATTTAATTTGCTGGCCCTTTGCATATTCACTACTGACAGCTAAGGATTCCCAGGCAAGCCTACTAAGTCGGTTTAGTTATCTTGTGACATGCCAACCTGGGAGGAGAAACATTTTTCCCCCTTAATTTAGTTAGATAAATTTTGAATGACCCATTTCAGCTTGTTACCAGATGTCTACAAGCTGTTTAACATCCTTTAAATTAAGAACCATCTTCACTAATTATTTCATGTATGTATTATGCAAAGTCATTGTACTAACTTTAATTGAATGGTGGTTAAAAATTAGTTCTTTAAAGTTATAGCTCTACAGATTCCTAGTCTGAAGATATATACCCTAGTGAATAGCAACAGGAGAATACTCAAAATCTATAATATTTCTTTCTCTTACCCCTGGCTATACATTCATATATGCATTTGAAGCACATCAATAAAGCCACAAAGGCAAATGAATGATAGAACACCTCTTTTTATATCTAGACAATAGGGAAGTTCAGTGTTGCCAGAGTTGCTAACAAATTATGCAATTTGCCATAATTTTAAAAATTCTACCTTGTTTTGTGACATATTTCCTCTTATTTTTCCAGTTTTTTGTTTTGGTTTGGTTTGGTTTTGTAAGCCCTAATAGTGGTTCTGTTTTAGATTTGCGATGCCTCTGGATAGTTTTCTTAATCACAGACATAAAACTGAAAATTATTTTAAAACATGGTTTCCAAATTTGTTTGCATATTAGAATCACCTGGAGGTCTTATAAAAATTCAAAGCTCAGGCCACACCCTAAACCAATTAAATTGTAACTTTTGAGCTGGGATACAGGCTTCAGTATTTTTTGAAGCTTCCCAGCTGGATCCATTGTGCACACAACTTTGAGAAGCACTGTGTTATGTTACCATCAGGTCAAGCCTCTTGCTTTCAGGCAGTTAAAGAAACTTAAAAAACAAATTTGTGAAGGTAAGGCAGAAGGACCAAATCTGCATTTCCATTTCCACCTTACCCAGCTTCTTTTTCCCTGCTCTCAAAAGCAATTAGAGATGAAATCCTCCTTAACTTAAAACCCATTAAGCATTTATCTATATCTTCAAGGAAATTCTAGTTTTAGCTACTAATTATATCTCAGGCATTTGGTACTACCATACTATTCATAATATAGTGGTGCAGTTTACTTATGTGTGAATACATATGTAGGAAAAAATATGTGAAAGTTTGGTAATACACTCAGTTTTCATTTCATTGTATTAGTGCGTGTGCACAAGATCACATATTTTGTGAGGTGTATCATACAATGTCTCTTAAAATAGAGGGTTGTCATTTAAGTTATTTAGCAGCGAAACTTGATTTTACTCTGTGATAAGTGTTGAATTTCCTGCTTGACAGAACACTCTCAGGAATCACTCAACTGCAATAAATTCTGAAACAATTAGGAATCCTGCAGTGAAATTTCAGGGACTTCAGAAGATTCTATTTCTTTTTAGCTTTTCATAGTCTGAAATATAAGAAAGTTACTTGGATACTAAGAAAAATAGAACTTAGTATATACATAATTTGGTATATCTGATACTAAATTGTATAATTATGACTCTATTAATATTTATTTACCATAGTTGAATAGTATTTACAAAAGTATGCCCATTCAGTGATAGGTGGTAATCAGGAGGAGCGGTTTATACCATTGAGAAGAAAAACAGAATTTCGGTATTTCTAGCAAATTAAAGAAAGAAAAGTGAAATTTGTAAGGAAAAGCAGAGGAATAAGAATTTATTAAGTAGATTATGCCATCCCAAAATATGCCAGTCTGACATAAGGATTATTTTGAGTTGAAGTCAATTGAGAAAAAGTATTAATAGATAAGGAAAACTCTCTACCCTCCCCCTAAAAACAGGACATAAAGTTATAAAGGTTTTCCTTTTCCTCTCTCCACCAAGAAGGGACAAAAGTTAATCACAGGAGACAACTTTAGATCCTAATCAGCCTGGAGATGGCACAGAAATCTCCATAACAAACTTCACTCTGTAGCTTTTTTAGTTTCCTACATATTTGCCTTCCCACAATTTGCTGCCCCTTGCGATTCAGTGTCTTTTTCCTTTGTCTTGTCACTTATTTAAAAATTTTTTGTTCTTTATTGAAAATGCCATATAAACTGGAGTTCTAAGCCCCCTCTATAAGTTACTCACTTCCTGATCATCCCATGTGTTATATCTGTGATACACATGTTAATAAAATTTTTTGTTTTTCTCTTGTTAATCTGTCTTTTGTTACATTCCAGCTGAGAATTTAGAAAGGCAGAGGGAAAATCAGTTTTTTCCATGCCTGCTATTAGAGTTTCTACTTCCATTTTCTCTTATCATAAGATTTTTTCTTTAATTGCCTGGTCACATTTCCCTAAGATATTATAAACATTCGTGATTCTCTGTCTTTATCCTACCTGACTTGATGTTTCTCCCTACCAGTGCATTTTATTCTCGTTCAAAATTATTTTAAAAGACTCTAATGATCTTGGATCTTCCCTTTTATTTTTGCTTCAGGAATATCATGCCACTGTGAATCTTTCAACATTTTCAACCTTAGCCCCTTTCCATCTTTCTTCCATTTTCACTTATAAAGCAGTATGTTCACTCACATTACCACCTTTAGTAAACAGATGATTCCAACTGATGGGATTCAGGACATGCTACCGCAAAATATATTTGAAGGAATTTGAGAAATGGCAGGTTCTGAAAGGACTCTCTGACCTTCTCCCCTCCCAGTTATAGGACCCTCATGTGAGTGGCGCCCTCCCTCTACCAGACGAAAAGAGCCTCTTTTTATCTCCAAAGACAGGAATACCAAGAGGAATCTGAATGAGCAGGCCTTGCTAAGTGTCCCCCAGTTTACTATACCTACCTCATACTCTTTTGTCCTTATCACATTTTTCCATGACTTTCCACTTTTCATCAAACCTAGTATAAGAACACTCAGGCTTAACCATTTCTTAGGGTGTTCATTTCCTTATGGAGGCTCCCTTGTCATGTAAAACTTAAATAAATTTGTATACTTTTCTGTTGTTAATCTGTCTTTTGTTACAGAGCCCCAGCCAAGAACATAGATGAGTAAAGGAAAAGCTTTTAATCCTCCGCAACATAACTCTACCATTATTTAGAGTACATTTTAGGATTAGGAACATGGAATCTGTGGCCAGTCTGCCTTTGTTCCAATCCTGACTGTAATATCCTGTAGCTATGTGACCAGACGCATGTTATTTGACCTGGTCTCTGCCTCAATTTCTTCATCCATAAAATAGGCATAATGATAACCATATTCATGGATACCTTGTGAGAAATAAATAGGATAATACATTAAAATAGTACTTGAAACATGTTGAGTACTGTATAAGTGCTTGCTATTATTATCACAATGAATTGTTTTTGGTAATCTGCAGCTCCCCCCATCCCACGCCCAGGATATTCGTCTGCGTGTGTGAAGTGTGTATTTATTTATTTATTTATTTATTTATTCGTTCCCAGTTATGGTCAAGAATGCTAAAAATTCTTCAATGAAATGAGATAGTCTTGCATACAGAATATTTATTTTCCACAAATTACCAGTACAGGTCTTTTTTAGGCCTGCATTTTGTTGTTGTTTATAGAGTCTACAAATGGGTATTCAGTGAACATCTCTTAGTAAATTTGTTTCAGCTACAATAATTTGTTTCTCAAGCTGATTTTAATTCTACCCAGATTTCTTCAGTGGAGTTAATGGAACCGTTAGTTTTATGATTGCAGAGATTTTTAATCTTGGGAAATTTTATACTGTTATTTTTTTAATGACCTATTCATTCCTTTGACCCTCATTCAAGTCCTGATTCTGCTGTGTTCTCTGTGAAATTTATCAAAATAGATGTGTCTGTACTTTCTCACAATAATAATCCTGCTTTGGGTTGCTAGCACTTCATTCCTAGATAACTCTAGATCTGAATTCCGTAGAACTTTGCCCATATTTAATTCCTTGACACAGTAGCTTAGGATAAAGTAGTAGGGATCCTTTCATGTTGTTTAGTTTTTGATGGAAGACCAAACTATATACATAGCAGACTGTGAAGAATAAATAAATAAATTCATTTATTTAATCATTTAACAATATTTATTGACTATCTGACTACCTAATGCAGTACAGTACATAAAAGTAAAGTCCATATACATTAGAGATTTAATGAAAGAGTGAAAGTTACAAAAGTATTATAAGAACTTACAAGATTACTTGTTTATAACCTTAGAACATCTCTAGAAAGCATACTTAAACAAGACATGAGAACATAGAGCCAGATATGAAAAAAATTAATAAAATTTTAAACATCTGTATGATAAAAGACAATATAAAAACAGTTAAAAGTCAAATGACTAACTGGGAGAAGGTATTTACAACATATAAATAAAATGAAGGATAAATATCTAGAATATTTAAAGATCTACAAACTGTTATATAAAAAGACAAGTCAACAGAAAATGGACAATGGTATGGACAGGAAATATTAATGGCTTGGGCAGATGATTCAGTGAACAAAATATTCTGAATATGTCTGTAGCTGACAGAGATGATATGTGGAGTCTCTGACAAGCACGACAAGAACCATATAGACACCTAAGGCCATGCCCTGTTAGCAACTATTTTCCATTTTAAAAGCTGGTTCTGGACATGCATGGTGTCTCATCTCTCTAATCCCAG